AGTCGCGCACATCTGGGGGCGCAGAAGTGGGCTGTCCCGTTCCGGAAAAAATACAGCACTTGTAAGGGGGGGAGGGGGGGCGGGGGGAGGGGGGGGAGGGGATTTTGGTGCTCCCCTCCCAGAAGAGGCGAAACTTCACCGCCGGACCTTGGCGATTTTGAGGGGTGGGGGTCAGTGGGGAGGGGATTAAGAGGTGGGGAATGGAGGGAATCCGAATAGGAACCTCTGACCGCTTCGGCCGGGGCCGAGGCGAATTTCAGTTGAGGGCTTTGTCTTGAGGTTTTGAGCCAGAAGCGTTCCCTTGAAGCGTGTACGACTTACAACCTCAAGCCTAACCCTCTGCTTTCACCTGCGAACCCTTCAGAGCCAGCTCCTACTTCTTGAACCGTTAACTTCAAACCCAAAAGACCTAAACTTAGGGTTGAGGGTTTAGGGTTTAGGACCTAAGCCCGAAAGCCTAAAGCCTTTCTCTCAGGCCCTCACCCCGGATCCCTAAACTCCCTAGGCTCCAAGCCCAAACCTTCATCCCTAAACTCCCGAAAGCCTGAACCCTAAGCCCAGCCTTACACACCAAACTCGATACGCAACCCCAAAGCACAAAAGGAGATCTAAGCCACAAACCCTGGTTTTTACTCTAGTAAATCCTCAATGCCCTCCACCATAAACCCTAAATCCTAAACCTGAATCCGAAGATCCTGAACCACAAAGAAGCCTAAAAGCCCTATGCGCCATAACACCCTGAACCTCCAAAAGGTCAAGCCTTAAACCCCGAAGCCCTAAAACCGATGAAGCCGTTATTCAACTAGAGCATATTGAAATATCCCGACAGATCCTAAAACCCAAAGCCACAAAGCCCGATACCCTAAAGTGGTGCCGAGGCGGCTGCCGGTCGGAGCATCGTGGACATGGACCCGGAAGCCAAGGTCCGATGGGGGTTAGGGCTCCTTGGGTTGGGGGGGGCAGCTGGTAGTCTAAGGTTTAGGGCCATTTAGGATTTAGGGTGTAAGGTGTAGGGCCAATTAGGGTTTAGGGTTTAAGGTTTAGGGCCATTTAGGGTTTAGGGTTGAACGTCTAGGGCCATATAGGTCTAGACTTTGAGGTTTAGGGCCATTAGGGTTTAGAGTTTAGGGCCGGTTACAGCTAGAGGGTTTAGTTGAGGGTGCTTGGGATGTTTCTGTAGCTCGTTGGTAGGTTCGCGTAAGGTTTCCCAGGGGAGTGGTCGCTGCTTATGACGGTTTGATGGCGTTTCTTGGCGTAGTAGTGTTTAAGCATTTAGGGTGCTTTCTGTTGGGGGAGGGCGGGCCTCATTATGTTTTTTCGAGCCATGAGCTGAAAATGCATTTGAGACCCGGAATCTGAACCTCTATATGAAAACCTTAACTTCCCTAGCCCGGAATCAGATCAATGTCAACATCCCTGAATCAGGCCCAAACCGAAATTCTTTTCAGAAAGCCTGAAGCAAGTCCCTGAGCAAGCGAGCTTTGCAAAACCAGTTGTTAAGAGGTTACGCTTGCGTCTACCGCCCCAAGTAAACAGAGACAGGGGGTGCCTTATGAACTACTTTTTACCTGATCTTGTTTTTCGTGGGGGGTGCGGGGGTGGGGTGCAGAATTCTGTAAACTAGCAAAAGACAACAGAACCACCGACGCCCTGCCCAGACTGTGTTTTAAAGTAACCTAGTCGCGCTTGTAATCGCCCATGGCCTTAAGCCAAAATGCCGCAAATCTTACGTAAACTCCCTAAACTAGCTCAAACCCCAGATGCACTTTGACCCTGAACCCTACATTTAGGGTTCAGGGTTTAGGGTTTAGGGGTTTAGGGTTTAGGGGTTTAGGGTTTAGGGTTCATACCCTTTTCAAACCTGCAGTCCCTCACGCGAAAGCTTAGACCCTAAACCCTAACCCCCCCCAAGACATTACCTAAGCCTAAACGTCATCCAGGAAAAAGCCTTCTGGGTGAGCCTGGTCCGGGTGAACCCTATGAGGAAGCCCGGGCAGAAGAAGGCCTTTAGGGGTTTGGGGATTAGGGGTTTAGGGTTTTAGGGTTTAGGCTTTAGGGGTTTAGGGTTGGGGTTTTGGGGTTAAGGGTTTTAGGGTTTAGGGTTTAGGGTTTAGGGGTTTAGGGTTAGGGGGCTAGGGTTTCGGGTTTAGGGTTTGGGGGGTTTTGGGGGTTTAGGGTTTTAGGGTTTAGCGTTTAGGGTTTAGGGGTTTGGGGTTTAGGGATGATTAGGGTTTTAAAGGCTTTGGCACAGGGCAACGTGGGCCTCCGCGCAGGTAGCCCATTCATCCCATCCCTCGTTACCACCGCCATGGGTTAAAGCTAGCTAGACTGCTGCGGAATGCAACCGGATTACAATTATCCCATCCGCTCCGTTTTTATGCATATTGTCTTATTCACTGGAGTTTCAGGGCGCTCCTTTCTACAGTGGCTCCAACGGCCAGAAGTTTCAGGGCGCTCCTTTCTACAGTGGCTCCAACGGCCAGAAGAATGGCCAAGCCTGGACATCGACGATCTGCGTTGGCTGCTTTTGACAAGCATTTCCAACCTGCAGGGCCACACACTGACCACGACAAGAACAGCTTTGCTTCATGCAGGTTGCCTTTTTTGGCCACCATGCTCCACTGCCAGAGATGGTTTTCTCCAACAAGGAGCTTAGGGAATGGCTCCTTTACCAATTCTGGAAGAGCATTTCTCCTGTGGTTGCTTCACCGTTGCGGGAGTTCACCCTTTACTCTGTCCCCACTGTCCGTCGAAATTGCTCCGCCTGGATGTAGCCATCGAATGTTGTTTGCAAGGCACTCCAAGCCATCACTGCCCACAGAGGGTTGCCGCAGAAGCCGACAGTGGCGAGCCGGGAGACCGCGACCACTCTCTAACATTGCTTTGGTCTCTTCTGTTCCGATGTTCTCCTGTACTGAGATTCGTGCGTCGGGGGGAATTCCCTCCACAGGTTGTAACCCTCATTAGGCGCACCCAGATTGTTAATGTTCCTCTAAGGCCGAGGGCTGGACAATCTACCCTAATCCGGCTCTTGGCACTTGCTCAACTTGTTAGTCTACTCCTGTTTTCTTCTCTTTCCACCCAAGAAGTCGCTCCAAATTGTTTGGTTATTAATTAGCTGTGTATAGGCATTCTCCGACCTTTGGCGGGTGGCTGACACGGGTTCCTGAGCATGGACTCGCTTTGCGGTACCGAGAGAGAGAGGATTTAGGGTTTAGGGTTGAGGGGTTTGGGTTTAGGGGCTTGGCCCTGTGTGTGAATTTTGGAATTTGGGGCTTTGGGTTAAACATTTAGAGATTCTGGGCTTCGTGGGGTGGAGGCTTCAAAGGTAGCGAGTTTGGCATTGGTTCGAGCTTGATCACTTGATGTTGACTTGAATATGGGAAGTTTGAGGGCTTGCGCTCCATGTTCTGCAATTTTGCAGATTAATCCCCCAAACCTCCAAGCATGCAGCTCCAGTGGCCTTCGGCCCCCTCAGGTGGATTTAGCCGACTGGGGCGACAGTGACAACCCTCTGATGGGGCCGCACGGTCCGTCCTTCATCGGGCGCGTCGTCCGTGACCCCGTGTCTGCCAAGGTTGGGTGCTGGCTTGATTTATTGTGTCTGGTTTCGGTGATGACGACAATGAGGAGGAAGAAGCTGGGTGAGCTGAGACAGAGGAGGATAAACAGTAGTCGCGATGATGATGTTGATGGTGGTGGTGATGATGTTGGTAGTGGTGGTGGCGACGATGATGATGGTGGTGCTGATGATGGTGGTGGTGGTGGTGGTGGCGACGACGATGATGATGATGATGTTGATGTTGATGTTGGTGTTGAACTGTTGATTCGATGGCGGTGATGTTGATGTTGATGTTGATGATGTTGATGTTGATGTTGATGTTGATGTTGATGTTGTCGATGGCAAAGATGATGAAGATGCTGAAGATGATCGTTACTTTTGATGAGGTTCATATGGATCATGTGAGTGTGCTGATGCTTTCCATGACAGGAACTGTGATGCCCGTGACAATCATGTCGATGAGGATCATGGTACAGACGATGATGCTGATTTTGGCATGGCCATTTTACTTTCTTGTGGGGAAATTGTCAGGGAATTGTGCTGAGGTACTCACTCCGCCAATCCTTCTGCCACTACGTAGTTCCCTGCTGCCGAAGATATTCGGGAATTGTCTGGGCACTACGGGGGGAGGGTTCAAAGTTTGGATGTTCCGGGTAGCCGGTGTTCTCGTGTGTGTGTGTGTCATTGTGTGTGTGTGTGTCTGTCTGCGCGTCCTGAAGTAGAGTGTCCTTCGCCTCCCTTTCAGGTGAAGCTGGTGTACGACGGGCACAACCGGTACGACTTCCATGCTGTTGATCTGTGGACACGCCCCGTCGTGGAAGGGAGCCCCAGTTCTTCCAAGAAGGTTTTGCTTGTTGCAACCAATGTTTGGTTTTACAAATGAATAAAGACATCCAGCTAAGCCTCCTTGGCCTCACGAATTTAGATACGCGGCCGCCGCCTAGGAGTGTGGAGAAGCTCAAGAGGGACAAGTACCTCTTCAAGCCGGTACCGATGCTGTACCGTACCTGGCTGTACCACGAGAGCTATCGGAACACCCGAAGCCACAACACGACCTCTGACGACTCCGGCGTCATCCGGCAAATCCTGAGCAAGGACAAACTCATAACCGTGAGCCATGTTCAATCCACCCCACAGCCTATCAAACCCTACAGCCTAAATCCTGCACCCTATAAGCCATAAAGCCCAAGCTCTAAACCCCGCACTTGCACCCTGCTATAACTCCAAACCCTAAAGACGAAATCCCAACCTCATGAGACCCTGTCCCCTACATGGCCGATGTAAAACGCCCCGGTCCCTAAACCCCGAACCCCAACTAAATCCTAATCAGCGCAACGAGCCCTAAAACTCTTTCAATGAAGACTTTAAGCCTTATCCACATTGAGCCATCCCCATAGAGTCTTTCTAGAACCCCGATAAGAACCCTGAAACTCTTGTCGAAATTTACAAAACCTTAGTGCACCTCCGTAAAAAAAGGGCTGCAAAGCCCTAATCCAAGCTCTAAGCCCCAAGCATGAAACCTTAAACCCTCAACCTGAAACCCGAAGCCCCCACACCCTAAACCCAGAGCCCATTCTCTAAGACTCCCTGTGCCTTTGTAGTAAACACTTAGGCCCTAAGGGGGTTCCTATATAGGTACTTTAAGGCCGAAGTACATACCCTAAACCCAAAACCCAAAACCCAAAACCCCAAACCCTACTATATAGGTTCATGGAGCCTCTGGGTTTGCGAGGACTGCATTGATGCGGACATCTCGGCTGGCCGCTGGTCGCCCTTGGCGCCTCGGTGCCTGAAAAGAAGGCTGAAACCCAGCAATGCAGGCCTTGATAATGAAGTAGAGTTCCTTTAACGGGTTCCTTATAAGAGATGCTATACGGGACACTATAATCACAAACAGGGTTTAGTATAGGGGCCTTTAGAAATAGAATAGGGTTTTGACCTCCTTTATGGTAAAATCATAATAAGGAACCCTAAGGTATACATAATGTAGTAATGTTGGCAATTACAAAAGCTTCTATATTACCCGATCATGGTATTAGGGCTTATAGGGCTGGGTTTAGTTGATATTAAAACCGCGCTAGCGGCTTTCTACGATGCGTTTCATCTAACAATTTAATAAGGTCTTATGAGGCACCACGCGGGTGGATAGGCAGTGGAGAGGATCTTTACAGGTTTTATGCACATGTTGTCTTTTTATGCGCTGGCTGAGAGGCTTTTGTATGGGGTTTGATAAGTCTTAGGGTTCACAGAGGTAGGAGGAAGGCTTATGGCCTTGGCTTCAGTGTTCATAAGGGTTGAACGGGCTTCATAAGGGGTGTGAATGTACTATGCATGACAGACCATGAGAGCATAGAATAGCAATGCACATGCCACACGAATTGAATGTAAGCTGTATCATAATGCGTCATAACATATCGTAGCAGTACGTGATAACGGGCTGTAGTGGCTGCAAGATCCCAGTTCTGCGCAGAGATGTTGAATCACACCCGACTTTGGGTCAAGCTTTAGGGTTTAGGGTTCAGCGTGCATCCCAAGGTCCCCCTACTGCCGGCCGCTTTCTGCTGCGCGCTGACGTGCGACGAGCTCTCGGCGGGCTGACCTCTCAACGGTTTCGCTGTTGGGGTCTGGTATTCCATCCGGGCCCGCTGCGAGGAATTCGTTTGAATTTCAGGGTCGTGCTTCTAACTTCAAGACCCCTAAACCCTAAGCCCTAAACCCTATAGGATCCTTCAGGGAGTTAGGGCGTACTAGTCCGGGCCTGGGGAAGAATTGGGATTAGATGTAGGCTTTAGGGGTTAGGGTTGTATCGGATTCTACTTGGGGTTTAGAGTTTGGGGTTATACCGTCGTCCTATTGGCCCCGCTCCTTTGCTCTTTGCTTTGGTTTGAGCTCCTAGGAGGCTTTGCGGCAACGTGCCAGGGTTAGTAGTGAAGGAGGACAGGGCTTTGTGGTTTCCGTGTTGATTCGGGTGTTCAAAGGGGTTTGGGATTACGAGGTTGATTCAGGGCTGTAGGGTTAAGTTCAAGGGTTTGGGGTTTAGGGCTCAGTCCCCAGGATCTTCCGAAACCACGAGATTGCATGGAAAACCCGCCGCGGCCCCAATCCCTACACCCTATACCCTAAACCCAAATTAAGCGCTAACTTGTCCACCAGGATGGCTGGATTCTTGAGACTCGCAGGGCGAAGGGTTTAGGCTTCGTCCTTTTGGGTGTTTGGGGTTTGGGGATGTAAGGTTGAGCATTAGGGGATTAAACCCCCAAAGCCCTTAAGATTGAGTTTTAAGGTTTAAACTTTAAACAACGACCTGTAGGTTAAGTATTAGGGGATTAACCCCCAAAGCCCTTAAGGTTGAGTTTTAAGGTTTAACTTTAAACAAATAAACCCAAAGCCCTTAAGGGTTGAGTTTTGAGGTTTTAAACAACGACAAGTAAGCTTGGACCGGAGCAGGTGGGAACCGCGGTCCTTCTCGCCTGGCTTCTTGTCCACTCCGTGCGTGGGTCCAGCCTACGAGACTTCTGCAGATTCTTCCGTAGGGTTAAGGTTTAGGTGTAGGGTTTAGGGTTTAGGGTTTTAGGGTTTTAGGGTTTAGGGTTTAAGGTTTAGGGGGTGGGATGTATGGCAAACGCCAGAGTGTACAGCTGAGAGATTGGCATGAGATTTGGCGACTAGAAGCCTTCAAGCTATACTAGTGGCCCAGATGGTACTGCTTCCTCCAAGCGAAAACCCGTGGATCCTAAAAGTTTGCTCCAGGTAGCATGGGGGGGGGTTCAGATCATGCTATTCCCCAGGTCTAATCATGAAGGCCCATACAGTACATGTGACGGCCTTCTTCGCAAGCAGCTCTGTGCCATCGCAGAAGTCCGGAACGGCAAGCCAAATCACTATGGCACTTAAGTGTGCAGCAGAGGCCGTTCGGATGTCGGAGACACAACTTCTATACTATAAGCCATGGCAACTACAAAACATGATGCTCAGCATTGAGGCCCCTATACTGTATTGAGGCCCCTAGACTGTATTGAGGCCCCTATACTGTGTACTACTAGGCGGGCCCAGAACGATGACCTTCTGGAGTTTCATTCTTTTGGAGACTGGAAGCCGATGCTCTCAGGAAATCCTAAGCTCTGTGTCCCAGCAAACCCCGGAGCCCTAAAGGGTTTAGGGTTTAGGGGTTTGGGGTTTAGGGTTTAGGGTTTAGGGGTTTAGGGTTTAGGGTATCCTTAACCTAGAAATGCACGAACCCTGTGGCTTCCGGGTAGTAATGCAGCTCTGCCTTCCAGATCCACCACTTGGTCTGGCTTCTGAGGCTTATCCAAAAAGTCGGCAATGATTTGAACAAGCCGGAGAGGTGGAAGGGGACTTATACAGGTTTAGTGTGCAAGGTATCGCCTTTCTGGCGCATTGTGAATCCTTGCATGGAAATCCTGTCAGTTTTGGGAGCTTAGGAAACAGTTTGACAGGGTCCCTCTGCAGCCCCACTTGCTAGGCCCCTTCTGCTGCAGCCCACCCAGTCGACTTCGGAACCCGAAACCCTAAAACCTTAGCCTATTAAGCCCTAGACTCGCGACCTTCGGCACGAAGCGCAAATTCTGCCTCCAGCTCGTAGGCAAAGCCGGGCAAGGCATGACCTAGGGTTTTGAGCCTAAAGCCCTCATATTATAAACCCCAAACCCCAAAACCCCTATCATCCCAGAACCTTAGCAGAGCTCATGGTATTGGTGGCTTAGGAGTTGAAGGTTTGCTTCGGGCAAGTAGGTCTCGCAAGAGGATTTACAGAGTTCTAACAAGCTTCAAAGTTCACACATTTCGCGTTTATGAACCCGAAGATTTTGCTCCCTAAACCCTGAACCCCCGCCCCCGCTCGAAGCCCCACTCCCCGAACTTCAAAGCCTTAAGGCCTACCCAAGAGAAGCCAGGAATCTGGGAAGGATTCGCGGGCTTAAGGCGGTCCGTTGGTAGATCTTTTCCCACCCTTCACCCGAAAAGCCCACAGCCCTGAATCACTGAAACCCCAAGCAGTATCAGACCTGACAGCCTTCACCTCCATCCCGAACACCCAAAGCTCTAAAGCCGTCACCCATCCTTACCTTATACCTTAAACCCTGCACCCTAAACCCTGTATAGAACTATTTTGAAACCTTTGTACACCCCCCCCCCCTCCCCCTATATATAGAACTCTGGTAAAACCCCTTCTTCGTAGAAATTTGGTGCCAGGTACAAAGAGCTCCGCCTGTGGCTCCTGCTGCCCCGCCTGGCTTGGGTTGCTTGCTGGTGCTTAATGGAGAGCGGAGGAGGCAATATAGGGACTACCATAAGGGATGATTTAGGAACCACAAGGGTTGACATGGGACTACCATAAGGGATTGTTTAGGAACCAGAAAGGTTGACATGGGAACTTCCATAAGGGATGATTTAGGAACCACAAGGGTTGACATGGGAACTTCCATAAGGGAATATTTAGGAACCATACGGGTTGACACAGGGACTACCAGAAGGGATTATTTAGGAACCATAAGGGTTGACATGGGGACTTCCATAAGGAATGTTTTATCGGGACGACCAGAAGGGCTTACACAGAAACTATTCTAGGGATCCTAAACCCTAAACCCTAAACTCTAAACCCTAAACCCTAAACCCTAATCCACTCTCCCCCCTTACTGTGCGCCAGTAAGGTTGGCTTCCTCATCTTCCGGGCTCTCTCCTGGCTCCCGGAGGCTGCAATCCTGCCACTCGTCCTCCGACCCTAAACCCTAAACCCTAGACCCAAAACCCTAAACCCTAAACCTTAAGCCCTAAGCCTTAAACCCTAAACCCTAAACCCTAAACCTTAAGCCCTAGACCCAAAACCCTAAACCTTTGGATTCTTTCCTGGGACTCTGGGGCTCTTTGGAGTAGGGGGTGGTAGGGTTTCTAGAGTTTAAGACTTAGGGTTTCGGAGTCTGCGTAAGGTTCTGGGTTTGGTGAAATTTTCGTGGTCCTTTGCATCCAGGGAGTCTAGTCAAACAAGCTCTACCGTCTCTTTTTTGTCAACCATCTCAGAGTAGGTCTGTAAAGTAGGAGGGTTAAACGTAGTTATGAACGTGTTTCACGAGTTCCTAATTTCACCAGACCTGATCCCCAAACTCTAAACTCTGTGACACTCAAGCTCATATCCTAGTATTCGTGTTTTAGGAGCAGAGTTGGAAAGAGGGTCCACAAAAAGAAGCTAGCCCCCAACCCTAAAACCCTAAATTCTAAACCCCAAACCCTAATCCCTAAACCCAAACGACATATAGCGACTCCAGGAACATTGTTGGCCTCGCGGGAACTCTACTCTTTTGCTGCATCGACTTCCTCTACGGTGACCGAGAGTCCGCGAATAAGCACCTCTGCTTTTCCGGTTTGGGGTTTAGGGTTTGAAGGTGCAGGGGTGCATTTACCCGACACACTGCACGCTCAACTGTGTAGCGGGGTGGGTTCAGAGTGTCGGGGTTAAGCTCGGTGTCATGGTGTAAACCGAGTCGCCAGTTCTTTCTTTCGAGACGTTGGGGTGTCTAGGCTGCTTTGGACACGATGGATGCTTTCTGCGTTCAGGTGTACCCAGCCCTCGCCAAAGATGAGAGGGAACATCTTCACTACCTTCAGTTTCGCTGGTCTGTCTTAGTCCCGTACCTTGGTGTAGACCCATGATTGATAGACACTGTCGTTGAGTCAAATTGGGTGGGGGTAGTTCCCGGGGTCTACATGATACCCAAAACCCCAAACCCAAAACCCCAAACCCCAAACCCCTAAACCCGAAACCATAACCCCTAAACCATAAACCCTAAACCTTAAACCCAAACCCTAAACCCTAAACCCAAACCCTAAACCCTAAACCCTAAACCCAAACCCTAAACCCAAAACCCAAACCATAAACCCTAAGCCCTAAACAGGATCGACCAGGGGAGACTGGGCTGTTTGGCTTGAAGGACTCGGGTCCTGGATCTTGGGGTTTATAGGGTTTAGGGTTTAGGGGTTTAGGGTGTAGGGTTTAGTTTAGGGTTTAGGTTAGGGCATTAGCGGTTTAGGGGTTAGGGTTAGGGGGCTTAGGGTGCAGGGCCTAAGGTTCCTCTTAAACGGCTCAAGGGTTCTATAAGGAGGACAATGGAACTGAGGGATTTAGGAAGTAAGGTTGTAAGTACCTTAGTTGGGGCTATAAGAAACTACTTATAGGTATAGCTGCCTTACCTATAACCCTAGTTACTAAGTCCGATGATCCTTCAAGTAGGGTTCAACGATAGAAGGGGATCGGAGCCAGAGCCTAGCTGCTCTGATGGCATAATGAAACAGCCTAGGTTCAGGGTTTCGAGCACTTTTCGGAACCCGAAGTTCCTGAAAGCTAGCTCGGTCCACTTAAAGGATCCTGGGACTTAGTATAGAGCGTGAGACGTACCGTAGCTGGGGGGAGGGTATAAGTGATAACGAGTTTTGCTACCTGCTTTTTTGAATGAGCCGACGCAGAGCGGCTCAGGTACCGGCTGAATTGCAGCTATGAGGTCGTGAAGGCTCACCTGTGATTCTGCTTAGCAGCAGCCCGGCAGTTGGTAATTTGTCCTTGCTAGCGGCCTGTTTGTGGGCTGTCGCGGTTGTTGCATTTCTGCACTGGTTCATGGGTTGTCGCAGAAGTATTTTCGTACCTCTGACGAGAACGAAGGTTTCGGGCTTTGTGTCGTCAAACCTAAACCTAAATGCTAAGTGCAAACCTGAGAGTTGTTTGGGTAACCAGAGAAAGTGCCAGAGAGACACAGAGAGGGGGAGAGACAGAAAGCGAAGGGGAGAGAGAGGAGAGAAGGAGAGGGATGGAGAGGGACACAGCGAGACAGAGGGGGAGAGTGTGGGAGCAAGAGCGATCCCCAGACCCTAGACCCGGATGCATACAACAAAAGGAGCAACCCTCAGCAAGTGTGCAAAGAGATACGGCAACAAGAAGTCCAAGTAAATCGACTACTAAAGGTTCACAGAATTCAAAGATGTGAACCCTACACCCTAAACCCGATCCCTAAACCCCACCCCTGCAGGTCTTGCCCAACCGGGTTTTCGTGTGCCGGCGGGTGGGAGCCACGGATTTCGAGAAGCTGTTCGGCTACCGGGGGACGGTGCATCAAAATATCTCAGGCCGGGTGCTTGGGGGACATGTTAATAATGGCACCTCTTCTTTTTGCAATACTATGGTCATATTATGACTATAAAAGCCTGCACACTCAAAAAAGTCATAGACACACTTTATGGCTCCCAAGAAGTAGGGGGAAATGTGCTCAATGCGCCGAAATCTTGAACCCTAAGCCCGTAAGCCTCAAACCCGTGAGTTCGTTTTAGGGTTTAGGGGTTTAGGGTAGTCCCGAAACCCTTAACCTATATAGCAGCAGCCCAAAAGTTAGAAACCCCATAGCCTCAATCCTTAAGAGTAGTGTATAGGGAATCCCAGCACTATTCGGAGTCTACTATACCAGGCACCGCCAGGGACCCTTTCATGGAGCCCCTATGGTCCTTAATAGTGCCCTAAAACCCTCAACCCTAATCCCTAAACCCAAAACCCCCAATAAAAGGAAACGCCAAGGTGTGCCCGAAAACCCTAAACCCTAATCCCTAAGCCCTAATCCCTAAACCCATCGAAACGCCAAGGTGCTGCTTGAACTGTGGGTCGGTCCTGGGAGAACTTCGCGGCAGGTTTGGGCTTCCTTGAAGGCTTTATAGGGCTTTAGGGTTTAGGGGTCTAGGGTGTTAAGTGTTTAGGGTTTAGGGTTTTAGGGTATAGGGTTTTCGGGTTTAGGGTTTAGGGGTGTAGGGTTTTAGGGTTTAGGGCTCAGGGTTTATGTGCGTGGTTCTCCAAAATTATGGGTCCCTTTGCCGGTCCCCAAAAGTAGTCCGGCACCTTTAAAAAAGGACGGCAAAGAGGACCCCACTTTAGAGATGTGCCCATGGGGGTGGTTCTCCAAACAAGGCGAAACTGAAACTCTTGGGTGCCGTATTTAGAGAACCCACTACCTCTTAATGAAGGAAGATGCCTTAAATTATAGGGGCCTCAATATTATGATTTAAGGTCTACTCCTTAAGTAAGGGGTATTGGGTTCTCTGGGTATTTAGAGTGGAATTACAGGGTTCCCTAACGGGACCATGATTTTGAGAGTGGCCCATGTATCCAAATAGTATATGCCGTGGCTCCGAAGAGCCCCATTATACAGCGACACAGAGGATCTGGGACATTTACCTGCATTTCTAACAATTACCTGTTAACCGGGTTTGAATCATGATGCTGCAGGTATCTTGCAAGATAACGACGTAGCTGAACCCCAGCGAAAAACAACCGAGCAGACAGGATCAGGAGAGCTAGTAAGTAGGTTACATGAGAAAATCGTGGCAGAGTACCCAGGCATTCGAAACTACCTCGGTCAAGTGACTAAGGAATATATACCTTAATGAATAGGAGGATTACTTCACATCATGGACGATTTGTTGATGCTGCTTCTACGGCACCAACGACTTCCAACATATCTTTCAAGCTGAAGGCTGTCGGATTCATAGTTTTAGAGCATGACTCAATCAATAAGCTACTATCAGTATTACCAATGAGTCTAAGACCGCGTGACCAGCAGCGCAACATGATCAAGAAATAGAACCCTATATGTCACTCTCAGAGACTCAAGAACGCACTCTATCTTCGATATCCTGAGGGTAGCTCACATTGCAGGCTCTCTTCTATCATCCGTATGCCTACTACTGGGGTCCAGGCACAATCTTTTGCGAACCAGAACTCCAATCCTATGCCTGTGGTTGGCATTTCGGCCATGCGGTCGCGCTTGCTTATCCACCCGACTGGTGTCATCCTACCTCTAACGCTGCTTTTCAACCCATGGCCACGTCCCGAGAGCTTCCGAAATCCGTTGAAGGAATATATACCTGAAATCATCTAAAGGATCCTACCAAGTATTAAAACTCATATACCTGAAATTAACTAAAGGATCCCACCAGCCGAGGCGCAGCCCCTGGAGGAAGCTCGGCTGGGAGCCTGCTGGAACCAAGGAGAGCGACTCCTCCTCTCCCTGCTCCTCCTCAGATTTCAAGGTTTAGAGGGTTTAGGGTTTAGGGTTCTAGGGTTTAGGGTTTAGGGTTTAGAGTTTTAGGGTTTTAGGGTTTAGGGTTTAGGGTTTAGGGTTCCTCAGATTTCAGGCTGCTGGGTTTAGGCTTTCGGCTTCGGGGCTTCTACGATTTAGGGCTCCGTGGGTTTAGATTTCGGGGTTTAGGAGTTGGAACTTAGTAGCTTTCAAGGCTTCATAGACTTTTGTTGATGCTTTATGCAACCCTTCGAGTTATTGGTTTCTTCAGGAAAATCGGACGTTTGCGTCAGGAGGTCACTGCCCTGGACCCCTGTGATAAAGAGGCCCGACGAAATGGGCAGCTTTCCTTTGGGCGGGGGGGGGGGGTGTGCCATATTTCTGGTTCAGCGGCTGGGGCTTCGAGTTTGGGGTTTTAGGAGTTTCAGGGTTTTGGGGATCTGTCCCTTTATGTCGGTCCGGAGTAGGGGTCTTCGGGTTTATGGTGGCAGCCTTAGTCCTGGACAAAGAGGCTGCAAGCAGAGACAGTGAGTGCGTCCGTTGCTCCGGATAGTCAGTCTTTGTAGGGAGGCCCCCGAACCCGAACCCAAAACCCTAAACCCATAAAACCCTAAACCCTAAACCCAAAACCCTAAACCCTAAAACACCCGGAACTCCAAACCCCAAACCCAACAACACATGTGTGAGAGCATGACTGGGCGACCCAGGATGCACATTCATGGATCTGTCTGTTCTTTATTGGAAGGGGCCGGTAAAAAAAGCCCGCCCTGGCCCGAATAAATCCGGATACTACCTATGCAGTGTAAGGCCCCTGGAACCTGATTAAAACCCAACCTTAGGCTGTCCATGCAATTACCAGGCGAACCTAAACCCTAAATACTAAACCCTAAACCCTAACCCCTCAACCCCTAAACCCCTAAACCCTAAACCCTAAACCCTAAATCCCTAAACCCCTAAAACCCCTAAACACCCTAAATCCTGAACCCTTTAATCCTAAACCCTAAACCCCTAAACCCTAAAAATCCTAAACCCACAAAACCCTAAACCCCTAAACCGCGGAAATCGCAGGGACCCGGAGGGCACAAGACCCGTCAATAGAGTAGTATACCTTCAACCCATCGCATCATGAGGCCCCCCTGAATAAAGTGGGTTGAGGCGTAGTTTAGGGTTTAGGGTTTGGGGTTGAGGCGTATTCTTCCTAATCTCCTAAACTCCTACACCCCGAACCCTTATGGGGGGGGGGGGTTTTATTAAGCTCTCGCGGGCTTTCTGGGAGAGTAGTCGAGGTTTCAGTGGGCTGAGTTCTCGGAGCTTGGCGTGACGGTGTAGGATTTTTTTTGTTTTGTGTTTTTGGTTTTCGGGCTCTTTGGGTGTAAGAGGTGTTGGGACGCAGGATGCCATACACGTGCATGGATGATAGGAATGTACATGAGTGTATGTAGGGCTTGTCAGTATATGCAAGGAATTCAGTGTAATAGGGAGTTGTACGAATCCGACAAGCTTAAGCTTACAAACGTAAAAAAAAAACACGAAGCCCGACATTCCTATCGTCCTACAGACTCATGGTGCCATTCCAAGCGACATCGCTCTCCTCGATCCTTGGTGGTAAAGCCACTAGTTGAGGCAACGAGGCTTCGAGGCTGAACGAAAAGCCTGACTAAAAAAAAACACACAGATCACTAAAGCCCGACCACCACAATGACTAACAACATGTCCTCCGGCATACTGCAGTCCAGCAGAAGGCTTTCTCCACAAAGGACCCTATAAGTTTAAAGCTTAGTGTGTAAGATATACCAGGCAGAACATCCTCGAAAGGAAACCCCTAGGCCCCCCAAAACCCCATAAGGGTTTAGGGCTTAGGTTTAGGGTTTAGGGTTTAGGGCATCCTGGAAAGGATGATCCTACAACTACCCATAGGCCCCTAAGTAGTTCCTTTTTATGGTTTATATGTAGAATCCTATAAGGTAACCCCAAAAAAGAACTACTTAGGGGCCTATGGGTAAAACCCTAAACCCTAAACCCTAAACTCTAAACCCTAAACCCTGAACCCTGAACCCTGGTCCTGGCACCAAGGGCCCTCCACCGAGCGGCTCCACTCGAACTGGCCCGGAAGGCTCGGCTGCAGACGCTTCTGGAGCTGCCAAGCCCGGGTCCTTCTTTCAAGGGCACGTGAAGTGAGGAAGGGTTTAGGGTTTAGGGACTCTAAGGGTCCTTTTGACGAGGATCTTAGATGGTCCTGTGATCACTTCGGGTTCGAGAATAAAGGGCTCCGCAACGGCCCTTCCCGCAGCATGCGAACTTTGGGCTTGAATCATGGCTATCTAGAGTTCTATGAAGTGCTTTACCTGGTTGAATAGCTGTTTTGTCTCCAAAGTTCTATCGAGGGCTCCACTACGTTTGGTCAGGGCTTTGAAGGGTTTCTTGGCTGTAGTTCTGTTGGAGTGTTCGATGGTTTATAACATTCAGGCGGTGAATGAAGGCTTGTGCGGCTGAAGCTTGTTCTGGGATTGGGGCTGAGAGTTAGAGACGGCTACCAGCACCCCCTCAACTACCCGCTATTATACCCTAAATACCCACTATTAAGGACCATAAGATCTCTATCAAACGGTTCTTGGGGGGTGCTGGTAGAGCACGATCAGGGCCAGGCTTTCGCGTTGAATCAACGTTCAAGGGCCTTTGGCTTGTGTCTTTGGTAAGTGCTGAAGGACCTGAATGCCCCAAACGAACCCTGCTATGTTTCCAGAAGGAACTTGAAAGAGCCGTTGATTCCCTACTGTTGATGATATAAATCCAGCATTACCTTAAGGACCCTAAACTAAGGGAATGATGGTATATTCGATATTCTGGGTAATGCAGGATTTATATCTTCAACTGTAATACCCTCTACTTGTCCAGCCTTCTGGAAGTTAGTAGGCATTATCCGTTGAGGCTAAGCAAGGAATTCCCCTACCTCAAGCATGTGCAAGGATACTAGCTCGACTACTCTGTGTTACTATGCCAGTGCG